CTGAATTTCTGTACGGATTTTCCTATGAATTTCCCAGCAGATTTTTGGCTGAATTTCTGCGCAGATTTTTGCCCGTATCTCTGTGCGAATCCCCACCCCAACTCTTCATACAGAATTTCACCTTCCTGTAGTTTCACAGCAGGTGTTTTTAAGGACCCCACTGAGCGCCTCCCCTTCCCCCCCTCCCTCCATCCTCCCTTCCCCTCCCAGCTCTTCCGTGCGTACGCCGCGTTCCCCGACTTCTTCCGCAACTCCACGGTGGAGTGGTGGAGCACAGAACTGCAGGAGCTCTATGAGAACCCCCACAACGCCTCCCTCAGCCTCAAATACGACGGCATTTGGATCGTGAGTGCCGGGCCTGGCCCTTTCTTTCTGCCTTTTTTGGGGGGTGTTGTTTAGTCGTGATTGATGACGTCGGTATCGGTGATGGTTTGTGTGGGGTTGTGTGTTTGTGGCACTTGATGATGTTAAAACAGAGGATTGGAGGGAGATGTGGACATAGAAATAACAGAAATGGACAGAGACGTAGAAATAGCAAAGACAGCGAAAAAAGGTTCTTAAAAAAGGGATGAAAACATCAAAAAAAATTAAAAAATAGTTAAAAAATGAGGTAAGATGACTTCAGAATGAAGAAGGAATGGAAGCTGATTATGAGAGCGACAAAGAAGTGACAAAAATCATTTAGAAACGAGGAAGGAAGGAAAGGTGATTTTGAAAGCAAAAAGGAGCGAGAAGCAATTGAGAAAATGATGAAGAAAGGAAAAGTAATTTCAAAAGTGGGAAAGGAAGGAGAAGTGATTAAAAATGAGAAAGAAAGGAGAAAAGATTGAGAAATGGGGAAGGAAGGAAAATGATTTAAAAAAAAATAGAAGGGATGGAGGGAGAACAAAAAGGCTGAAAAAAGGAAAAATGAGGGGGAAAAAAAGGGATGAAAACGGGATGAAAGAGGAAAAGAAGAGTTTTAAAAATGAAAAAATAAAAATTAAAACTGAAAAGTTGGGAAGAATTAACGGAAAGTCTATAAAAATAATTAAATAATTTTCAGCATCTGCTGGTGAAAAAAAAAAATGTGATTTTTTGGTACCTGTTGACGAAAAATTGCGATTTTCAATAATTGCTGGTGGAACAAAATGTGATTTTCGGTATCTGTTGATGCAAAATTGTGACTTCCTGATTTTGCCGATGAACCCATTGGGAAAGGATTTAATCTCTGGGGGAAAAAAAGCCCAAATGTTTGCCACATTGGAATGGAATTTGGGGTCAATTTTGGGTTTGGTTTTTTTCGTGTGTGTTTTTTGTGTTCTTTGCAGGACATGAATGAACCCGCCAGCTTCGTCCATGGGGCCGTTTGGGGCTGCAGAGATCAAGAGCTCAATAATCCCCCATACATGCCCCGTAAGTCTGCTTAATTATGGCTCATTTAATAAGGAAATGGGCCAATGAACCCCTTTTTAAATTAAATCCAGGGGTTGAATTGACCCCTTCGTTCGCTTTTACGTTTGTTGCTGCATTTCCTATAGGAAAGAATTGCCTTAAATCCCCAAACCCAGAACAACTCCTCTAACAAGAAAAAAAAGAGAGAAAAAAAAGTCAATTTTTGGAAGATTTTTAGCATGTTGAATTCCAGCCTTTGATTTCAGCAGTGACCTCAGAGCCCTTTGGAAAAAGGAAAATTGTTGATTTCTGCCTCTCCCAACCTTCAGAAATCCGATTTCAGCAGTGATTTCTGCCTTTCCCGTGCAGAAATGCAAATTGCAGATGCACAAAAACGTAAACCCTAAACCTAAATGTAAACCTGAATATATAAAATCAGAAAGGAAAGCCATTAATCTCCGAACTTCCCATATTTCAAAAGCGAGTGTCAACAATTTCTGCCTTCCCCCAGTTTCAGAGATCTGATTTTTAGAGGAACAGCAGCAATTTCTGCCTTTCCGAGCTTCAGAATTTCCATTCTGAAAACAAATGAGCATTTCCTGAATGAAAGGAATGAAAATTTCCTGAATTTCCTCAAGTTTAGAAAGGAATATCAGCACTTTCTGATTTTCTTAAGCTTCAGAAATCCAATTTCAGCACGGAATATCGGCGATTTCCACCTCTCCCGAATTCCAGAAATCCACTTTCAGGAAGGAATGTCAGCAAATTCTTGACTTCCCCAGATTCCAGAAATCCAATTTTACGGGGGAACGTGGGCAATTTCTGCCTCTTCTGAATTTCAAAACCTCCAAAAATCTTATTTGGCTGTAAACCAAGCCGACCACGCAGCTGCGTAGCAGGAAGCGAAGCTCAATGAAGACGGCGCCAACGAAAAGTGATTTTTCCAAGCTTTTATTAAACTGTGCCGTTTTCACCCCATTTCCCACAGAATTGGGGTGGAGGGAGCTGGGCTTGGCCTACAAAACCATCTGCATGGAGGGCGTCCAGATCCTGGCCGACGGCACCGAGCTGCGCCACTACGACGTCCACAACCTCTACGGTTGGGCCCAGACCAAACCCACACTGGAGTAAGTCACCCTTTTTTTTTTTTCCTTTTTCTTCCTTTTTTCCACCTTTTTCTCCCCGAAAACCCTTTTAAACGAGCCCTGAGGATCACTTGCTGCCCCCAGTGCGCTGCGGAGCATCACGAAGGAGCGGGGCATCGTCATCACGCGTTCCACCTACCCCAGCAGCGGGCAGTGGGCAGGGCATTGGCTGGGGGACAACACGGCGGCGTGGGACCAGATGACCAAATCCATCATTGGTGAGTCGATGGAACGCCGTGAACCCGCGCTCCCTTCCCCAGAATCAACGCATTTTCACACATAGAATCCCAGTGTTTGAACAACGATGGCCAGCTCCTTCTTGATCTCTTTCCTTGCTGCTGTCGTTAAGAAATCCTTCATCATTTCCACTCAGTTGGGTTGAATCCTGTCGACCACCTTGTCCTCAAATCCTTTCATTCCACCATTATTCCACATCGTTAAGAAATCCTTCATCATTTCCACTCAGTTGGGTTGAATCTTGTTGACCCCCTTGTCCTCAAATCCTTTCTTTCCACCATTATCCAACGTCATTAAGAAGTTCTTCTCTATTTCTACTAAATTGGGTTGAGCCCTGCTCACCCCCTTGTCCTCAAATCCTTTCTTTCCACCATTATTCCACGTCATTAAGGAATCCTTTATCATTTGCACTAAATTGGGTTGAACTCTGATGACCCCCTTGTCCTCAAATCCTTTCTTTCCACCACTATTCCACATAATTAAGAAATCCTTCATCATTTCCACTCAGTTGGGTTGAATCCTGTCAACCCCCTTGTCCTCAAATCCTTTCATTCCACCATTATTCCACATAATTAAGAAATCCTTCATCATTTCCACTGAGTCGGGTTAAATCTTGTCGACCCCCTTGTCCTCAAATCCTTTCTTTCCACCATTATTCTGTGTGATTAAGAAATTCTTCATCATTTCCACTAAATTGGGTTGAGCCCTGCTGACCCCCTTGTCCTCAAATCCTTTCTTTCCACCATTATCCAACGTCATTAAG